CTTCGACGGATATTTTGAGCACCAGCACCCGTTGACACCTTGAAGGTCACAACCACGGTCATGGTCTTCACACTGCCGCCTCTCTGAATGTTAAGATTTCAGTAAAGTGTGTACGTAGAATTTAGCATAAAGGTGCATCTTGCTCCTCTCAGCTGCTGTCGGCTGCAGGATGCAATGAAAAGTGCTAGACGGCACGTTTTAATCAAACCCTGATTTACACATTGTATCCGTCTGGCTGTCTAGCACTTTTCTCCAAAAAGCTTCCGAAATTCCCATAGATTCTCGCTTGCAGTTCGGTGACAAAGTTAGATAACCACTGAAATAAGGGGCGATGCGGTCTACGCCTTCAATTAATCGTGGAAAATGTCTGACAACAAGATTTGCTTGAATGTTTGGTCTCAGCTGTACATTGTTGCTTGAAGGTTTAGAATACATCCACGCAGACTGTCAAATAATAGGAACTTTCGAGACGAGCATTTCTAACTCATGGCAAGGCACTCGCAATTCAGGCTAACCTACTAACTTACATCTCATGAAAGAGCGCTCGGAAGCTATTTTTGGCACCGAGAACACCGTTGCATAAAGTGCTGTAGTCAAAGAAGTCAGGCAGCTTACCGTGTTGAAATGTATTCGGCACAGCGTGCCTTTAACCCGTCTATTCGCAGTTTTTTAGCCACTTCCAGCAGTTCACCCAAGTTGGCTTCCGTAATCTCAATCCTCCCATTGTACGCAAAACTAATGATCATCTCTATCATCCTATGAACCACGTCAGGCGAAATTCATATGGCACACTTACTCAGGCGAAAGTCGCTTCAGCTCCTCGAATTCGGAACATTCCCCTCCATGAAGGAAGACTTCTTTAAAGAAGGGGATCGTGGCTGCGAGAACAATCTTGTGCGCCACAATGCACACGCCATGCGCCTTTGAATACGTCAGAACTATCAAATAGTAGAACCTACAAAGAGCGTGAAGTCGCATAATCTGCCCTGTTTGCGATCTCTCTCCAAGAGGTTGAAGGGTCTATAATCCTGTGACTGGAAGGTAGTCATCATGCTCCCAAGCAAGCCAGATGCAGAGTAAGCAAGTTCACCGGCAGGTCCATGCTTGCATTGCCGCCTCAAGAGCGCTTAACTGCCTCGAAATCCAGTCGGCTGCGTGACGCGAAGCGCCTTCTTATTGGTGCTAATCTTACCTGTACCGAGTCCCAATTGGGTGTGCGGCGTTTTGCATTTTGATTGGTGCTGGATGATCAACTAGACAACCAATGAGAAACCACACCAGACGGCGCGTAACGGCAAATGAGGTCGGTTTTCGTAGTAAAATTCAGAGACGTGCGTGGCAGACGATGGACACGTCTTTTGAGTCGCAGATAGTTTAGCAGGAAAAGGACCGCAATTTGCTGCTGTAATCTAGAAAAGGAGAGTAATGTCTGTGGAGTCTCGAAAATATTTACCAGATGCGAAGGCCAGCACACGTATCCCGAAGTCTGGGGAGTTGAGTAACGGACGAGAGTGGGACAGAGGTTCTTTAAATCCGGAAATTCAGCACACTCGGAAACCTCGGGTTTTAAAGTTGTTTACCTAACGAGTGTTGACTGCTGTCTTCCTTTATTGAGTAGGCTGGTCTGAGCAGTGAGTTAATACGCACTTTAGTCAGGGCTGCAGCCTCGAGATTCCAGGCATCGAAGGTTACGTAAATTGCGAAAGTTGCTAAGCGAATGTGACTACGGTTGCTTCTTTTAATCGCACAAAACCGCCAGCTTACAAATATTTTCTCGTTACTTCAGTTATATGCGAGGTTGAACGCCTAATCCTCCCCCGCCGTGAACAGGATAATCCAGGACATTTTAAACTTAAGTTTGATGACTCACCTACATGTTATGTAAAACCTGGCAGAAGGACTCTTATTTGCCCTCGAGACATGCAATAACAAATGAAAAGATTAACGAATGAGCGATTTCAAGACCCAATCCTGAACTAGGGGAAGATTATCCAACAGACGTGCATAGGGATTTGGATTAAATCTCGAAAAGAGTAATACTTAGAAGGAGAGGGCAAAATAATCGAGACGAGAATTATATTCACCTGATAATTCACTTGCATTCGAGCTCACAATCAACGAAAGCAAAAGATAAGGATGATAGGTGCATATAAATTTCAGTACTCCTAGGATTTAGTTGTTTTGTGAATACATACATACCTACAATAATTAACGGTTCTTTTCTTCATCGTAGATGGTTGAAATTGGCGTAATGACTGTCTGCACACCAACATCAGAGATATTCATTGTCATACTTTTCTCGCTGTTTGATAATCACTTGGTTATTTGGTTCACTGATAATATCTTTGGGAGCTGTACTCTCCCACTCGGTCTCAACAATGAATATGGAGGAGAAGGTCATCGCATTCCTTAATCGAATTTCGGGCCGGAGAGCCATGATACAAGCAGTTCGCAGCACACGCGGTCTTCACCTCTAGCACGAATTTCGGCCTCAAAGAATTTAAATGTGTGATCAGATTCAGTCAAATGAACCGCGACTTCGAAGCTGGGGTCATTGCTCCTACCCGCTGTTGCGTATTCGGCCACTCGCGTACAGGATCGTCTCTCAGTTTGACAAAGTTGACTTGTTTGAAAGTGCCCTTGGTGTGATAAACGACTCTCGATTTTGGTGCTACGGGAGAGGGTACTGCCAGGTACGGGAAGTTCTCCACCACTTGCAGTTGGGTTCCGTTCACGCTGATTTGCGGCGGCGCGTTGGGAGGATAGGCGATGTTGGGTGGCGGTTGATGCATCACCACCGTCTTCTGTGTGTTGATTACCAGACCGAAGTTCTCGCAGGCGGCGGGGAACAGGTGCAGGCTGCGTTGCGTCTCCTCTTCCGAGGTGGTGTTGAGGACGCAGTCGTCGGCGAAGAGAAGTTCGTGAACGGTGGTTGTGGATACGCAGGATTGGAAGTGCATCCGCCGTTGATTGAGAAGGTGACCGTCCGTCCTGTAGGCGATGCAGATCCCGGGGCCTTCATCACGGTAAGCGTCCATCAGCATGGCAGAGAACATAAGACGCCATGACGCATTCCTGCTTCACTCCGTTGGTCACTGCGAATGCCTCTGAGACAGCTCCGTTGTCCGTGACTCGCGCCATCATACCGTCGTGCAGCTGACGCACCATCTGAATGAATCGCTCGGGACAGCCGAATTTCTGCATGATCTTCCACAGTCCTTCACGATTCACCGTGTCGAAGGCTTTCGTGAGGTCCACGAAGGTAGAGTACAGGATGAGCCACATTTAAGGTTAGTACAGTAACGTACAGCCCATGATGCAAACACTGTAAAATCGATGCAATGAGGGATGGGGACAAATGAGAAAAAGCAGCTTACCCAAGCCTTTTTTCTTCGGTCGCGGGGCCAGACGGGGTGGCACGTTGACTGCCGCCCCGTAGCCACGCCGAGTAGCTGGTGTATAGTGTAGTGTATTTTAGGGTAATAGGCAATGCCCTTGATGACCCTATTGAAAACGGTACATAAAATATAAATGTTAAATGTACATCTTACTAAAATTTTGTCAATAACATATTTGTTCACGGAAAACTTTCACAATGCGGGACTGCAAAGGGTGCTGCAGGCGGTCTTCTCAGTGTACACATGAAATTTTAAGTGCAGTTATATACAATCAGCATAAAGTGCAGTCATTTGCATAGTTTGAGAGGGGGCATCTCATTAAGAGTCAGGGATGTGTTAAGTAGGGATGAAATCAAGAAATGAAATTTATGGCTGGCCGCAGGTAGTCCTGTTGTGAAAGTCGTCGTTTATCAAATATCAAACGATCCAGCTGCCTTTTGAATACAGCGATTGTATCAGATGTCACTATTTCACTTGGGAGTGAGTTCCATGGTCGAACAACACGCTGGCTGAAGGAAAACTTCCGATTGTCTAGGCGTGTACGCTCCCGTTTGACTTTGTTAGGGTGACCGCGCAGGTGACTCGTGGTCGTGAATTCATAGAAGTCGTCAGTTTTGAGCGAACATTCATGCCCGTGGATAATGCGGAATGTCCATAACAGGTCACATCTCATTCTTCTATAGGATAGGGGAACAAATTTAACTGGATCAGTCTTTCTGGGTATGACAGAGTCCTGAGACCGTCCACCAGTTTTGTGGCCCGTCGTTGCACCTGCTCTATGGCATCACTGTCATTCTTCATCCAGGGCATCCATGATGGTATTCCGTATTCCAAGTGCGGTCTGACGAATGTGCCGAATATCTGTGAGAAGAGTTCTGGAGGAAATATTTTGAAGGCACGCCTTATCCAGTGCATGATGCTGGTTGCCTTTTGGACGACTCTTTTGCAGTGCTGAGAGGGCAGCAAGTTTGAGCATGTCCAGACACCTAGGTCTTTGTGCGTGTCCACTTCTTTTAGTGGAACCCCATTTATGGTGTACTGATGTTTTGGGAAGTGCATCCGTCCAGATTCTAGTCGCAAGACTACACACTTGGATACGTTGAAGGCTAGAAGCCACTTGCTGGACCACGCAGCCAGCTTATTAACATCTTCCTGTAGCTTTTGCACATCTTCAACGCAGCTGATTGTTTTCCAGATTTTGAAGAAGAAGACACGATCGCCGGGACAAGAGCTTTATTAGCCTGACGTTTCGGATTCCTGCTCGAATCCATCATCAGAGACATAAGCAGATAAGGGTGGTTCATGCACATGTGGCTGCAGTATTTATAGGATGCAGTAGCCATGCCACCGCATACCTATGAATGTTCACGGCTCCCTCCCCTTCATCAGGGATCGTTGCACGTGGCGTGATGGTCGATATTCGCGTCGTTAATTGCTGAAATTTCATCACGTGCGTTGGATGTTGGTGTGATGATTGCTCGACCATCTGACGCGCTGACCCGGGTGTTGGGAAGAGTGTTCATCAGGGCGCTCCCCGCGTGGCCAATTTCTCCGCCTAGACGAAGTCTCAGCACGCTGTATTGAATGGGAAGATCATTGCACTTGTTAATAGACTGGGGGCCAGTGAACCATGACTCAAGCAGCTCCCGGCTCACGCGGTTGTCACCTCTTGCGAGAATTTCGGCCTCGTCAAATTTGAATGTGTGGCCGAAACCCGTCGAGTGAGCCGCAACTTGAGAGTTGTCGTCATTTCTCCGCACTGCTGCATCGTGTTCGGCCATTCGCGTTCGGAGCTGTCTTCCGGTTTCTCCGACGTAGTTGCTTTGTCCGCAACTGCACCAGATCCGATAAACGACTCCAGACGTTTCTTGCCGTGGCAGTGGGTCTTTTGGTTTCATCAATTGACGCCTGATGGTTGCCTCTGGCCTGTGTGCAACTCCAACCCCCAGCGGTGTGAGAAGGCGGCCAACAGCTTCCAAAACGTTCTTGACATATGGAAGCGCTCGCCAAACCGCAGGGACACCAAAGTTTGGCGATGAATCCCGAAATCGGCGAACCCATTGGTGTGCCCTTCACCTGTTCGTAGATTGTCCCGTCGAACGTGAAGTACGTCCTGAGACAGAGCTTCAGGAGCTGAAGGATTTGGGCGTGTCCAAGACGGTTCTCCGTTTCATCGTATTTGCTTTGTAGTAGCAGTTCAATTGTCTCGATCGCCAGGTCCTGGGGAATAGAAGTAAAAAGGGATGTAACATCAAAAGATACCATGACCTAATTTGGATGGATGCTTACCCCTTTGAGTTTCTCCAGGAATTGTGCTGACGAAGAGACCGTGGTGTCTGACTCAGCGGTCAGGAACTTGAGACGCCGGAACAGCCACTTAGCCAGTCCGTACGTTGGAGACCCTTTAAGCGACACGATGGGTTGGAGAGGAGCGCCGTCTTTGTGCACCTTAGGGAGGAAGACAAAATTGCTGAACTACAATACCTCCGACGGGTCTTCAAAGCCAATGGCTACCCGCGCAACTTCGTCGACCGATGCATACGCAAAAGGGACGAAAGGCCTAACCGCACGGACACCAAGTCTTGGCGGGCACTTCCGTATGTCAAGAACGTTTCGGAAGCTGTCGGCCGCCTTCTCGCACCACTTGGGGTTGGAGTGGCACACAGACCGGAGGCAACAATCAGGCGTCTGATCATGAAACCGAAAGACCCACTGCCACGGATAGAAACGTCTGGAGTCGTTTATCGGATCTGGTGCAGTTGAAGACAAAGCAACTACGTCGGAGAAACCGGAAGACAGCTCCGAACGAGAATGGCCGAACACGCGGCAGCGGTGAGCAGAAATGACGCCAGCTCTCAAGTTGCGGCTCACTCGACGGGTTTCGGCCACACATTCAAATTTGACGAAGCCGAAATTCTCGCAAGAGGTGACAACCGCGTGAGCCGGGAGCTGCTTGAGTCATGGTTCACTGGCCCCCAGTCTATTAACAAGTGCAATGATCTTCCCATTCAATACAGCGTGCTGAGACTTCGTCTAGGCGGAGAAATTGGCCACGCGGGGAGCGCCCTGATGAACACTCTTCCCAACACCCGGGTCAGCGCGTCAGATGGTCGAGCAATCATCACACCAACATCCAACGCACGTGATGAAATTTCAGCAATTAACGACGCGAATATCGACCATCACGCCACGTGCAACGATCCCTGATGAAGGGGAGGGATCCGTGAACATTCATAGGTATGCGGTGGCATGGCTACTGCATCCTATAAATACTGCAGCCACATGTGCATGAACCACCCTTATCTGCTTATGTCTCTGATGATGGATTCGAGCAGGAATCCGAAACGTCAGGCTAATAAAGCTCTTGTCCCGGCGATCGTGTCTTCTTCAAGACTGCTTCCTGGGACTCGTCTTTTCACTTCTATTGGCAATGTTTTCCAGATCTTTATATCGTCCGCAAACATGATGCCATCGCATCCAAGGTCTGCAGGACAGTCATTTATATAGATGAGGAAGAGGAGAGGACCCAAGACTGAGCCCTGCGGAACGCCGCTTTTTACTGGCACCCATTCGGATGTAGTGGCACCAACGGTGACATTTTGGAGCCTGCATGACAGCAAACTTTTAATCCAATTAAAAATGCTGTCCTGTATTCCACACTCCCAAATCTTCTGTAGGAGTCGTCCATGAGGAACGCTATCAAACGCCTTCTTAAATTCAAAGAAGATGACGTCCACTGGACGGCCCTGGTCTATGGCTCTTGTCCACTTTTCTTGAGAGTAAAGACTGCTTGTAAGACAGGAGTGACCACGACGAAATCCGTGCTGAGCAGCACATAACAGGTCCCTCTGCTCCAGATACGACATTAAATGCCCTTTAATAAGTCGTTCCATTACCTTGCATAGAATGCAGATTAAACTAATAGGACGGTAGTTTTCGGGTTCCAGTCTGGATCCTCCTTTATAGATTGGAGAAATATGGGCAGTTTTCCACTCCACCGGCAGTTCGCCTTCTTCCATGGACTTCCGAAATATCATGGACACCGGCTCACAGAGTACATCAGCTAATTCTCGGAGGACAAGTGGATGAATTCCATCTGGACCAGGTGATTTGGCAGGTTTCAGCCGGCGTAGTTCGGTCCTTATCAACGTGGGTGAGAAGAAAAGATTGTCTTCCAATGCAGGACAGGAGGGATATTGTCGTTGGTCTACGTAAGGCATGGCAGGAGGGTTTGTGTCATGAGTGAATACCGACTGAAAGAAATTGGAGAAGGCTGATGCTTTCAGGTGGTCATCCGTCTCAGTTGCTCCGTTTTGGGATCTTAGCGTTGGAATCGGTTCACGACTGCTCTGTCCCTTACGTATGTAACTATAGAGGATTTTAGAATGCTCCAAGGAATTTTGTAATATGCACAGCTCATAGTTGCTTCGAAGTCTATGAGCCTCGCGTTTACACGCATTCCGCTGTCGCTTGTATTCCGTCAGGTCTTCAGGACTTTCTGTTTGTCGATAGCGTCTCCACACTTTATCTCTCCTCTTAAACGCGGTTTGAAGTTTCCGGTTTATCCACGGCGGACGGTTGCTAGTTTTCTTTCGTCTGAGTGGACAGTTCAGATCAACGATTCTTTTGACCAGTGAGCTGAACGTGCTCTAATAGTCATTAACTGTTACTTGTAATGCGGTTGTCCACGGTATTGCTGAGACTTGCGTTCGCATGCTAGAAAAATCCCCCTTCCAGATATTTGCCTGTAATTATTCAGGTGAATTAGGCTGGGAGAACATGGAATACTCGAAGAGCATCACAATATGATCACTATCACCAATTGGCGGGAGATCTTGTATATCCAGCACACTCTCCTCATCTCGAGTGAGCACCAGATCGAGGCAATTTGAACATTGCCCTTCCCTAACACGTGTTCCGAGAGTTACATTCTGGAAAAGTAGTTTTTCTGCTGCCAATTCAAGCAAATGTTGTCCGAATGTGTTCGCTGGACCCGCAACCGTCCAAGCTTGCCAGGCCTCGCCATAGCCACGTCCAGCCACCTCAGCAGGGCGTGGTCAGACGTAGTTTCCGTTTGTAGGGTGGCTTCTGGTGAGATAGAACCTAACGATCGTTTTGGTGGAGTGTCTTGACAGCCGCGGCTGTACGAGCATGACATTAATTTAAAGGGTCATAAAGTGGCCGTCGTTTCCTCGGCAAGGTTTAAATATATGCGCGGGGCAAGAAAATGTAAACTTTTGTTTAACAAATCCACCAGCGTTTTGGCACTCCTGCTTAATTAGCAGACGTACGCATTCTATATAACAGTATTTCGAGTTTTTTTTACCACTTGAGTGCTCTCCGTGTCGAACATTTTTTTTAAAAAAGTGAGCTCTCCTCTTACTAGAGAATTACGTGTGAGGTGTACAGTACATAAAATATAAATGTCAAATTCACATCTTACTACAATTTTGTCAGTAATATATTAGTTTATGGTAAACGTTTTTACAGTGCAGGGCTGCGAAAGGTGCGGCAGGCGGTCTTTTCAATGTACATATGAAATTTTAAGTGTAATTATATACAATTAGCATAAAGTGCAGTCATTTGCGTAGTTTGAGAGAGAAAATTTCATCAAACGTCAGGGATGTGTTACATGGGGATGAAATCATGAAATGAAATTTATGGCTGGCCGAACCTATTCCTGCAATGAAAGTCATTGTTTATCAAAGATCAAACAATCCATCAAACGATTAAGCGGTTCTCCCGACTTTTTCCTTCCCACACGCATATGCTTAATCCTTACCGTTTCTCTTCTCCTGTTGGGCAGGGAGAATAAGAATAGCGGGAGAGCTATGCAATGCCCACAGATTTATCGGCCGGTCTGAAAGCTCCCCTAGCTCGTTTCTGACAGTTGTCGGTTATCAGTCGACTATGTACTGTTTCGCCCGACTATCTAGTGAACATAAAGTATGGGGACTAAGACTCTTATATCGGGTCCAGTTGTTTACTTTTGGTTTTAATGTAATCACAGAATAGTATTTACATCTCTCGGTGTTGGCAGAAATCTTAGGGATTACTCAAAAAAATCGGAAAAGGCTTACAAATCGATGTCTCAGACAACCCACCAGCAGTTGTTCTCAGCAACTTCAAAAATTAGAATACAAAAAGTTCGGTGAACGATTTCCGTAGAAAAAAAATTAAGCCGCCTGATGTGGCTTTGTTCTAGGGTTTCGGATGGCAGATTTTTGTCTAGTGTGCGCACTCTTTCCATCACATTAAGGAAGGAGCTGGCCGTTGAGACTTCCCCATTAGCGGGCAAGGACACCGCAGGTGGTGTGGCGAATCCTGAATGGAGTTAAAGGCATAAGATGAGATAATAACTCGATTGTTCAAACAGCTTACAGGCCGCATTCTAGGGCCCTTAAATATGTGCTCATGTATAAGTCCGCGGAATCAAACTAGTGAAAGTAATGGTTCCGGTTACTTTAATGTCTTGCTCTGGTTCGTTAAGTCAGACTGGTGTTTCGGAGTCAATGCGTCAAATTCGAAATATCACAGTCAAAAGCCCTGCTCTCGAAAAGGTTAGAGGTAACAATGAGCCACTAAGACCGTGAACCAGCTTCTTCTAAGTCATATTAAGTGGGTCGCTCTGATCCAGTCTGTTTCCGGGGTAGAATGCAGACCTCCTCAGCCTTGCAGTTCTGATCCAGGGCATACATGATCAGTCATGTGGCGAAGAGTTACGCCCGGTTTGTGCCGTAAATAAGCCAGGGAGGACTAATCTTGCCCTCCCCGTTTCGGTCAATAATTCTTTTCGTCGATTTCTTTACTATCCTGTTTACGCCTCATTAACAGTCCCACACAAGTCGCTTCCTTGGCAGGTGAATTATCCGAAATCTGCCGAAACACCCATTGATTAAGTGAATCTAGTGGTCAACTGATGGGTTATAGATTGATTACTTAAGAAATTTTGCTTGAGCACCCAGATTAGTATATCAGAATTTTGAAGCATTTTTTCCCGGGTATGAATTGAAAACAAGCATGTACAGCAGAATTTATTGGGGTCAATAAATTTCGTTATTCTTAACCGGAAGGAATATGTGAGGAAAATGAAGTGCATCTTAGATGATCAGAGCAAATTTCGTCTAGAGGCGTCTGGGAAAGATGAAACCAAGACATTGTAAGACTCAGTCTGGAAAAAGGTTCAAAAGTTGTTGGACAAAAACCTGATTGATACTAAAACCGCACTTATCCTAAAACCGAGAGGTACACATATCCCCAGACTAGATGGTCTACCAAAAACGCACAAAAAGGACACACCTTTACGGCCAATTCTTTCTATGTCTAATTCACCTACACACAGACTAGCAAAATGGCTTGTCAAGGAGCTAGAACCAATTCGGCAATTGTTTTCCACCTACACGATAAAAGACAGTCTTCATTTCATTGAAGAAATTAAGGACCAGAACATCGCCGACAAGTGTATGATCTCTTTAGACGTGGAATCCTAATTTACCAACGTACCATTGGTTGAAACAATAGATGTTATATGCGCCCATGCGTCCAAAACCCGACTCTCCCCCGAACTACTACGAGATCTGTTGGTACTTTGCACCAAAGATGTTCAATTTCTGTTTAATGGGGAACTTTACAGACAAATTGACGGAGTCGCAATGAGTAGTCAACTTGGGCCAACCCTCGCCGATGTTTTTATGGGTTACCTAGAAGATAAGGTGTCCTCAGAATTAAACATGACAACATTATACAGGAGATACGTGGATGATATATTCACGATTGTTGATAACAAGGAAGACGCCTCCGACCTACTTTGCCTGATGAATAATCTGCATCCTAAAATCAAATTTACGATGGAAATGGAGCACTTTAACAAGTTACCCTTCCTGGACGTCCTCATGTTTAGAGAGGATGATGGTTCAATAAGACGCTCCGTCTTCCACAAGATTACGTGGAAAAGGCAATACCTACAATACAATACAATTGCGCCAATACAATGGAAACGTAATCTAGTACATACTCTTTTTCAAAGAGCGAGAAATATTTGCTCCAGGGAGACCATAGATACAGAAACTGCCCGTATCAAAGAAGCCTTACTTAATCGTGGTTATCCTACACGCTTCATTCAGAAGTACAGCAACCATTTACAGCCAAAGTTGACGGAACAGTCCGTTCCGAAGAAGCCCGTTATAATATGTCTACCTTTTAAGGGTGACAACGTCTCAAACACAATCAAGCGACGCTTGCGTTGCACTATAGAAAGAACGTACAACGCAGCAGAGCTTATCTTCATCAGTTCCACAGAAAGCCTTCCAATTAACCGGGCAAAGGATGCCTTGCCAATGCACACCACCCCCAATTGTGTGTATAAATTCACATGCACTTGCGGATGCAAGTACATTGGGCGAACGCAAAGGCAATTGGCAACCAAGGCCGCTGAGCATTTGCCTAATTGGCTTTTCAAACAGGAAAATAGAACCCCCCGTTCGTCTATAACGAAACACCTGTTAGATAGCGGTCATGTTTTCGACCCTTAGGCATCCTTTCGAGTACTTGTCCGAGCACGTACAACTCGAACCTTGCGTTATTTGGAAGCAGCCTACATACGGAGGGAGAAACCAGACCTGTGAAAGCAGTTAGATCAAGTGATCAATCTGCAATTGCCCTGCTAATCTCACGCCTCTATTTTCCCCTGACTGTGATTTGTTGTTAACATTTCGTCTCCCCCTTTTCCTTTCTGATGCTTATTTGGACGTCTTATCTGATTATTGATTGTTTTGAACTTTGACCTTGCTCTCATGCACTGCCATTCTGTACAAATTCATACTGCTGTGCGCTTTCATTCGTTACCTATGTTATGCAGAGACGGGCTGCAGTTGAAAAGCCGTCACGAAATTTATTGGCCCCAATAAATTCTGCTGTACATGCTTGTTTTCAATATATCAGAATTGGTGAATTGCATACATGAGGGTAAATTGACCCAAATGTAATTAAATGGACGCCTCTCAGTGAGGCCTCGTAGCTCCGGTTGTAAGAGGTAATGGTACTCAGGCCTTTTCCTTACTGTCGTGGGCTCGAATCCCAGCAAGGCCGCCGACTTTTTCACAGACGGGTTAAAATGAAAATCAATTTGTCAAGGTCATCAGACTTGGCGCGGGCTGAACGCACGCGCCCATCAAGGCGTGGCGCCGGCGCGCGTTAACAAGACGAACCCTCCGAGAGCCGGTAGACACATTACCTTGGGGCGGAAATGGCGACCAAACTACCTTCACTGACTCCAAAAACAGTGGCTGCTCAAAGCGAGGGTGTCTCCAGCGCAGAAAAAGCGAAAGCGGCTATGGCGCTGATAGAAAATGAAGGACTGTCGGAACTCAAAGTCATATGGCACGCAAAAATGAATGTCAGCCCCATCGCGGATCTTCCTTCACGTACAACAACTCACGGCTTTCCACCGAAGCTAGCCCAGGAGTATCCGGATTTGGAGTTTTTACCGGCGACGTTTAAGGACCCCTTGGCAAATCTCAGACTCGATGAAGAACTTCCAATCTGGTCGCCACCGGAACATGGAGCATCCGAGCCGGGTGTCAAACGATCACGTCGTATTTCGCGCCTACTTGCTCGCAAAACCGCCAGCAGGGGCGGCAAAAAACCCGGCTTTCTAAAAACGGTGCCCGACAAGTCGCTTCCGGTGCCACCCCTGGTGCGCAGTGCCTACTTCTATTCCTACGGTAGGTGTCCAGCCTGCGCTGGTTTTAACAGACAGACGATGAGGACAGTGGAGTGTAGCCTTTGTGAAAAGGCCAGAAGCAGCAATCGTAAGCGATTGTTCAACCATCACACCTCACAACGAATCAGTAATTCCACGAAGGACGGCACACTGGAGCACCTTATCGGAAAAACAAAACGGAGGATCTCTGATGGGAGGGCGAGAGAGACAATTCGGCATCTGGGTAGCGCGCTTGCAGAAGTCGGAGTGGTCGACAAACTGGATGTCAATGGACCATCTGAAGGAAGGTTAAGTTTCAGAATGCTACCGCCGCCAAGTTCGAAGTCAAAAACCGAAACTCCCGTCCCCTCTGATTTGCCCAATTTTTACGCTCAGACTGATGACGGGGGGAGTTTTAACAGCTTTACCTCTGCCAGTTGTGATGATAATCTCTCCATGTCGATGAAAAATAGTCAGTTTCTCCACCGAAAAAAGGAAAGATTCACTCCAAGGAATCAGCTAAAACCGGATGTTATGGATTTAAAATGCATGTATCCCGGCGCCACCATTCTATCCGCAAAGTTAAAGGACTATGACTGTCACGTGCCCCTTATTTCCTATGATGTAAATGAGATGCGGGAACTCTACACCGTGACCATCCTCAAGGACACCTGTCTGAGGAGGCTGCTTGCATTCAGAAACCTCTCTTCCCTGCCGGCGGAACTGCACTATATCAAGAATATCAAGAAGCGCGAGGATACAGACGACTCTGCACCCGGAACAAAGAATCTTGATGCCGCTGGGGACAAGGATCATCAGTTTCGAGTGACCATGGAAAACACAGCAAAGAGCATCCTCACTGAACTCGCAAATCACTTCTACGAGGCGGACTTTGTTATCCTCTCCCTTTTCACTAACTGGCTCGAACGTGCTCGCAAAGATACCTGCCTTCTCTGTCTACAGACGGCAGACGAGATGAGCGAATTCCTGCATATTCTGGGCCGAGAACTACTGAATGATATCTTTAAGCCGGCTGGAAACGCCAGAATGCAAATGCTCTTTGTGCTGGCCACCGTCTCCGAGGAATCCCGCCTGCGTCACTTCCTGTGGTCCAGCGTGAGGACCTGGCTTGAACCCCTACTGCTGAGTCTGCTTGTCGAATCGGCCGGCACTCGAGAGGAATCCTGCTATACACTCGCTTACCTCTTCAGTTGCAACACCCTGGTGAACGACATGCGACACAACTACGATCTCGACATCCCCTTTGATGTGGCCTCAGTGGTCATACGGGCGCTTGAAATGAGGCCAGAGAGTTTCATGCATTTCTTCTGCCTGTTGGCCTACATGATCGAGGGCTGTCCCTCCTACAGCATCCTCAACTGTCTGATTGACAAAGCTCCAAAGACGAAGTGCACCATCTTTCGTCAGCGCTGGCCCCTACTCATCTATTACGCCTTCAAACACTGGGAGGACAGTTACATCTACGTCAGTCCCTTCCACCCAAAACGCATCTGTGAGGCCATGGCAGTTGCCTATGGCGATCCGGTATCTCGAAAAGCTGCGAAAATGGCGCTGAGTGCCATCAGCAGCAGAACGCATCTCATTACACCTGTGGTCACCTGTTGGCTGAACCAATGGATCAACATGGAGGAATCGTCCGAGGGCAAAAGTGACTGAAAACGGTAAAATTCTCCATACCGCTTCCTTGTACTAAAATAATGTACAGAAAAAAATCCACCAAACTGGCATGCCAGTTTCTGCATACATATCTAATAAAATTTAAATGAATGCACGACGTAACTGCTGTCCCGTTTCACGTGACTTTTCTCGATGACAGTTCTTAGTGCTCGACCACAGAGATGCGAAAGCGTCCCATGCTTAATTCTTCAGGACCCGGCAACCGGATTATGGCTTTTAAAGGCAGTACTGTCGGGCAAGCTCGTCAGTTCACCTAGAACCTCACCATGGGGTGGGAACCTTTGCCAGGAGCCACGAAATGTCAGTGTGATGTGGGTGCTGGTATCGCTCCTGGCGATAATGACAGATGTGAGAACATCCAGGTTGGTAGGTAGTCGAGTTTTGTATGGTGTCCGCTAGTTACCTCTCCAGAGACGGTGGTTTCCGACCAAGGTAGCCCTGGGCTACCAAGGGTGGTGGAGGGTTTGGTATGAGAGGCGAACAACCAAAGGAAGAAACCAAATTCATTACGGGACAAAGTAAATATTTACCGGGACCATGTAAGATTTCCCCTGGTATTGACACCTAGCAGGTTAGGGTCACCACCAATGCCAGGCTGGTGAATGTTAATCTCACACACACCAGATTAATTCGTTTATTTCTGATCTCAACGAGACAGACGTTGTTACGGTTCCCGACACTGAGTGAAACATCTTCGGCTATAGTCATTGTGAGCAAAAAAACACTAAGGGACGCTTCAAGAAACTGTGTTTCACAGCATCCAAAACTGGCGTTCGGGGCGGAGACAGAAGTATGACATCCGTCTTGTCTGTTGCACAAAACGCAAGGGATCCCTCATCGGAATTCGCGTTTTGTATAAAGACAGCAGTTCCCGCCGGCAAACTTGGTGAGGCTTAGTGATGATTAATGAGGGTTGTAAATCCCCTGTTAAAAGGCTACACGGGAATGCCCATTTCCCACTTACAGTTAGGATGAATCAGTGCACACCGCTCGCACGTGACTAAATGTCCCTCGACATCAGCCGACATGACGTGAGCCCATAACTTGATGATCAACCGATTTCTGCTCAAACGCTTGGCGTACAGCATGTGGTCAAGGTGGCCCTCGCTGATGACGGCAAAGAAACTAGAAGTGGCCCTACAATGTCCTTGTCTTCGTTAGTTCCGGCTATACACGCCCTTGCCCACAATGAGCGAAATATCCTGAATTCGCTGGCTACTTCTTTGCATTTAAGTAGTTGGAATTTCTGATGGTACGCGAACAAGCATTGTAAACCTATCCCCAGCCCTCCCCGTCCTAGTCCCGAAGCAAAAGTGAGTCAGAACGACTATAGGCGTGTGAGAGGGGGCTGTCTGACTAGGAATTCGCCCCTATCTCTTGCGTGCCGTGCACGCGTCGACCTACCAATCGACATGGAGTAGACCTCGGTCGAACGCCCGTAAAATTACAGAACCAGAAACATTCTTTCCCGGAGGGAGGGGCGGAAAATGAAGCAAACACTTTATGGCACCATCAGAATTAGGGAACTGTCTCGGGGCACAGACTCCTTACACAGATATAAGACGATAGCGCCAGTAAACTTTGTTTGCTACTTTTGATTCATTCGGTTGCAAGGAAAAGCTGACTTCTTGGTTAAATCTGGCCCAACGGCGCTGACCGTCTTGGGAGCCCTGCACGTACAGAGAAGCCATCAGATGCCAACAACCACGGCAGCTCAGACGTGGCCTTGCTTCGTCAAGGGTCAAAGTCAGCCTCCTTGAGTGCAGTGCTGGCAGCTAAGAAGTTACGCGTAAAGGACGGTGGTGGTGGTGGTGGTGGTGGTGGTGGTGGTGGTGGTG